CTCAAACGTGCTGCGTAACACGAGAATGAACCTCATTGGTTCGTACAGAAGCTCAAACGCGCTGCGTAACACGAGAACAAACCTCATTGGTTCTTGCTGAAGCTCAAACGTGCTGCGTAACACGAGAATGAACCTCATTGGTTCGTACAGAAGCTCAAACGCGCTGCGTAACACGAGAACAAACCTCATTGGTTCTTGCTGAAGCTCAAACGTGCTGCGTAACACGAGAATGAACCTCATTGGTTCTTACAGAAGCTCAAACCCGCTGCGTAACACGAGAACAAACCTCATTGGTTCTCGCTGAAGCTCAAACGTGCTGCGTAACACGAGAACAAACCTCATTGGTTCGTACAGAAGCTCAAACGCGCTGCGTAACACGAGAACAAACCTCATTGGTTCTCGCTGAAGCTAAAACGTGCTGCGTAACACGAGAACAAACCTCATTGGTTCCCGCTGAAGCTCAAACGCGCTGCGTAACACGAGAACAAACCTCATTGGTTCTCGCTGAAGCTCAAACGCGCTGCGTAACACGAGAACAAACCTCATTGGTTCTCGCTGAAGCTCAAACGCGCTGCGTAACACGAGAACAAACCTCATTGGTTCTCGCTGAAGCTCAAACGTGCTACGTAACACGAGAATGAATCTCATTGGTTCTCGCAGAAGCTCAAACGTGCTGCGTAACACGAGAATGAACCTCATTGGTTCTCGCTGAAGCTCAAACGTGCTGCGTAACACGAGAATGAATCTCATTGGTTCTCGCTGAAGCTCAAACGTGCTACGTAACACGAGAATGAATCTCATTGGTTCTCGCAGAAGCTCAAACGTGCTGTGTAACACGAGAATGAATCTCATTGGTTCTCACACATCAAGCGAACATGCTTAGGCTTCAGTTGGTTTACCACAACTAATGTGTGAGTTGATGAATGTTTACATGTGAATAAAAGCCTAAATTCAATCATACCTGTTTCTGCGTCATACGGATGCTCATGAGTTGTGATTTAACAGTTATGCTAATGTGCCACAGCCGGTGTTCCCGGTCCAGGACTCGGGATGGAGAGACCGGCAGCAGCTGGGAAATGTTGAACAGAAGTCTCTCGGTCCCCGAGGCTGCCAGATGCAGTTTATATCTGAGCTGTGGATCTGGCTGATGGTTGTTCAGGAACACATTTCTGGGATAGGACGTCCCCTGTTACTCTGTTTTGGGACGGAGGCTGTGTGAATTTGCTAATCTTTTGTCATCTCAGTGGAATAGTTGGATGTTGGATGACTTCTTAGAGTCCTGTTTCATAAACCCCATTTAATGTAAAAGCATGTGATCATTTTATTAAAGTGTCAGTCAAAGCATCACCATGTGACGGGACAGTTATGGTGCTTTAAAGAAAAGAATCATCATCTATACATCACTCTCCACTTTCATTATGCAAAGGAGACATTAACATTTCCCTTTGTGAAAATGAATAAAATGATACAGGGATGAAATAACATTTTTGTCGGTGAGTAAACGATTCTGTTTTGGGAAACTGTTCCTTCAGTAACATTCTCTGAAAGATGACCTCATCTGCACTGGCTATAAGGAGCTTTATGGGGACTGATGGTCTCTGGCCGCTTTATTAAGTTGAAATGATGGATTGAGGAGAATGACTTGTATTGATTTTGGTGTTGTGCTGAGAAGCCACTGCGTTTCATCATTCTGCAGACAATAACAGATCAGCTTCCTCTAGCATCTGTGCTTTTCTTTCCTTTCTATCTGACAGCGAGGGAATATAAATATATCAAAACTTCATCCGTGATCTGTGACGCATGATCTGGTATTAAGATCTAGATCGGATGATCTTAATACACCTCAGGTGAGACACTGCAGTGTTTACACCGTACACTAAAAAAAAAAAAATTTGGTTGCAAGTTGCAACATTTTAAGTTTTTCAGATTTACCTCACAGTTAACAGTAAAAAAAAAAACTACAGGTGAAACTCGAAAAATTAGAATATCGTGCAAAAGTTAATTTATGTCAGTAATTCAACTTAAAAGGTGAAACTAATATATTATATAGACTCAATACATGCAAAGTGAGATATTTCAAGCCTTTATTTGTTATAATTTTGATGATTACAGCTTATGAAAACTTTTTCACAATATTCTAATTTTGACTTTGGGGTTTTCATAAGCTGTAAGCCATAATCATCACAATTATAACAAATAAAGGCTTGAAATATCTCACTTTGCATGTAATGAGTCTATATAATATATTAGTTTCACCTTTTAAGTTGAATTACTGAAATAAATGAACTTTTGCACGATATTCAGTATATTTAATTTGCTAAAATAGTGTTAATATACCAAATTGCTCAAATCAGTTTTGTTACCTTTATGTCAACCACCTTATCAAGGCGGTAAAGAGAAAACCACACAATGAATCAAAGTTCATCACAAGTATTTCCACAAGCTAAATCGCTACAAATATAAATATTAATGTACATACTATGACATATACACACAAATACAAAACACATTTAACAATATATGAGGTAATATAAAACCCTAATGTACATAACGGATAAGAAAAACTTCTGGGAATGTCAATGTCAATTTAAGGTTTTTTTTCCACAGTATTCTTCTGTAAATTTACATTTAAATGTCTTATTAGATCAATTACAGTTTCTGACCGTTTGAGGTAAGGTTTTTACTGTAGCTTTTTTACAGTCACTTACCATTAAAATTGCGATCTGACTTGTCATCAGATTTCAAGGAGAGGGTCTCTGATTTCTTGACTTTGTTCAGAAGTTACTGCAGATTGATAAAGCACAAAAAAGAAAACTGATCAGTGAATCGTTTCTAAATATCGAAATCAATTCCACATATTGCTGAATTGAAATGCAAGGACAAAGTCAGTGTTTTGAGCATGATTAATATGTGTGCTTTAAATGATCTGCGTCTGCCTGTCGTTCCTGCCAAACCAAACACTGCAAGCTGCCCTTCAGCACAACTAAGCCTCGGCAGACGATCAGAATATGGCAGTGTATCTGATCTCCAATAAACCAAAGAGGGACATGTCTCGCCTCTCTTGTGCTGTGTCACCTATACTATGCCCTAAAAATATGTAAAGTAAAAGTAGATGCTTTTGAGTGTGTATAGGCAAGCTGTGGGACCACGTCATAAAATTGCGTCTCGAAACCATTGCAACTTGGTGTGCATTACGTGCCTTCTGTCACCATAAACCACCTGTCAATCATCCCGTCACAGTTAACATCCTCACATCCCTACACTCCAGATTTTATTTAATTACATTTACTCAACTCAAACAATTCTTCCTACCATATTTGAGAGAAAACAAGTTGATCTGCCAGTAGTGAGGAGAACTCTGCTCATGGTTTTTTGCACAATGATCTGCTATTGTGCTATATCTTTATAAAATGTTGTTGTGGATGAAATATAACAGAGATAACTTAATTCAATATTTTTCATCAGGTTAGATATTACTTATTAACACTTTCTGGGTGTCTCTGCTTAACCGACGGTCTCGCGCACATCCATGTTTAAAGTTGTTTTCGTGTTTGTGGTTCTGAACCGAATCCTCACTTCGAAAATTTTAGCTCTTCTCAACATACTGTACTTTGGGACACACTTATTCTAATCTCACATGCTATTTAGGATGTATGTTATGCACATTGGGACGCAGGGTTGGTCTCAGTTAAATGGCCACTTGATCTGATGGATATAATTCATGCTTAAACTTGGCATTGTGTTCTGCAAATATTGTTGGCTCTTACACATATCTTGTGATGTTCCTCACTTGTAAGATCAAATGTCTGCTTTACAATAAGGTTTCATTTGCTAGCTACACTACGATAAACAACACTTCTACAGCCTTTTTTAATCTTAGTAAATGTAACTTCAACATGTTTTTTTCAAATCAAAAGTTGTATCTGTTAACATTAGTTAATGCACTGTAAACTACCATTAACAATAATTCTATTTTTATTAACTAACATTGACAAAGATGAATAGATGTTGTAGAAATGTATTGCTATTTTATGTTACAAAAGGGGGTTTTCACAGCTTTGATCAGTTCTTAAAATAACCTTTTTGTTTGCATTCATGTAAATAACAATTTTAATAATCTAAAGAACCTTTTTTTCACTCTAAAGATCGTTTTGTGGAATGGAAAGTTTTCATGGATGTTAAAGGTTCTTCATGGAGACATAAATGCCAACAAATAACCTCTGAAGAGCTAATGTCATCAAATGGGAGCTTTTTGTAAACTAAATGCCATTTAGTTTTAGTCATATTTTAGTCATCTGAATTGTTTTAGTCTAGTTTTAGTCGACTAAATATCATAATATTAACAGTAGTATTCAGGTACTACCAACAGAAATTGAATAAAGTAATCAAATGTAAAATAACAGTGCATAGTCTTCCTGGTAAAAACCCTTATTAAAGTTTATAAAGTTATTCAGTCAAGACAGAGCAGTGAGCGCATTTCTCTTTAGTTTGAATTAGTTTGGCGAGTTTGAATTAACATTAAAGACCCAGACAGCAGCAGATTTAGGCTACTGTCACTTTAAGTACTAATGTACGTATACAAATGTGTTTTTTCCCAACTGTTTATTTTCACTTATGACATAACCGACTACGCGAATTCTCGCCAAAACACACAGTTTGATATATAGTTTGTACAATGCAAAAATCATTAGAATGTCCTCATAAAATATTGAAACCCAATGTGTGTGTGTGTGTGTCTGTGTATAGACATCAGTTAGCATTGTTATGACATCATCTTTCTGTGACAAGTGTATAAATGGACAGTTGGGGTCTTAAGATGGCTTTCATTAAAAAATGGATGATACCCATATCTCTAATCAGTTCTGGCAGTGCTTGAAAACAGTTTGATGAGACAAATAAGCAAATGAAATCTTTTATTTTTCTTTCGCGTCACCAAACCCCATAAACATGTCCATACTACAATATTCATCTGTCTCTCTCTGTCTCTGTCTCTGTCTCAGCAGAAATGTGATTGTCTTCTGAGTCTGAAAGCAAATTCTCTGGAGCAGAAAGCAAGAGTGTGTCAGTGTTTGAGCGAGAACATCAACACACAGCTTCAGCTGCACGGACGACAGGCGTTCTGCCCATCTCAGCAGGTACAGAACATGCTTCTGTTTCTCTGGACGTTATCAGGCCTCAACAACGAGGATGTGATAGAGTTCTTAGATGTTCTTACCATATCTTCACTGCAAAAAAAAAAAAAAAAGAAGATTTTCTTACTTAGTATTTTTGGCTTGTTTCCAGTCAAAATATCAAAAAATTCTTAAATCAAGATGCATTAACTTATGGAAGCTTGTTTCCGCCACTGAATAAAAAAAATAAAAAAAAATAATTGCGACTTTTTATCTCACAATTGCGAGATATGAAGTCAGAATTGTGAGAAATAAAGTCGCAATTGCGAGATGTAAAGTCGCAATTCTGAGAAATAAAGTCGCAATTATGAGAAATAAAGTCGCAATTGCGAGAAAAAAAGACAGAATTGAGACTTTTTATCTCACAATTCTGACTTTATAACACATAATTGCGACTTTATATCTCGAAATTCTGACATCTTTTCTCAGAATTGTGAGATATAAACTTGCAATTGTGAGTTATCAGGCCAATTTTAAGGAAAAAAAAGACTAACTTTTTTCCCCTCAGAATAGTTTATATCTCGCAATTCTGACTTTATAACACGCAATTGCGACTTTATATCAATCAATTCTGACTTTATATCTCGCAATTCTGACTTTATAATACGCAATTGCGACTTTATATCTCGCAATTCTGACTTTTATATCTCGCAATTCTGACTTTATATCACGCAATTCTGACTTTATATCACGCAATTCTGACTTTATATCTCACAATTCTGACTTTATATCACGCAATTCTGACTTTATATCACGCAATTCTGACTTTATATCACGCAATTCTGACTTTATATCACGCAATTCTGACTTTATATCTCGCAATTCTGACTTTATATCACGCAATTCTGACTTTATATCACGCAATTCTGACTTTATATCACGCAATTCTGATTTTATATCACGCAATTCTGACTTTATATCTCGCAATTCTGACTTTGTATCACGCAATTCTGACTTTATATCACGCAATTCTGACTTTATAACACGCAATTCTGACTTTATATCTCGCAATTCTGACTTTGTATCACGCAATTCTGACTTTATATCACGCAATTCTGACTTTATATCACGCAATTCTGACTTTATATCACGCAATTCTGACTTTATATCTCGCAATTCTGACTTTGTATCACGCAATTCTGACTTTATATCACGCAATTCTGACTTTATAACACGCAATTCTGACTTTATATCTCGCAATTCTGACTTTGTATCACGCAATTCTGACTTTATATCACGCAATTCTGACTTTATATCACGCAATTCTGACTTTATATCACGCAATTCTGACTTTATATCACGCAATTCTGACTTTATATCTCGCAATTCTGACTTTGTATCACGCAATTCTGATTTTATATCACGCAATTCTGACTTTATAACACGCAATTCTGACTTTATATCACGCAATTCTGACTTTATATCTCGCAGTTCTGACTTTATATCTCGCAATTCTGACTTTATAACACGCAATTCTGACTTTATAACACGCAATTCTGACTTTATATCTCGCAATTCTGACTTTATATCACGCAATTCTGACTTTATATCACGCAATTCTGACTTTATATCTCGCAATTCTGACTTTATATCACGCAATTCTGACTTTATATCATGCAATTCTGACTTTATATCACGCAATTCTGACTTTATAACACGCAATTCTGACTTTATATCACGCAATTCTGACTTTATATCTCGCAATTCTGACTTTATATCTCGCAATTCTGACTTTATAACACGCAATTGCGACTTTATATCTCACAACTGACTTTATAACACGCAATTCTGACTTTATATCTCGCAATTCTGACTTTATATCTCGCAATTCTGACTTTATAACATGCAATTCTGACTTTATATCTCGGAATTCTGACTTTATAACACGCAATTGCGACTTTATATCACGCAATTCTGACTTTATATCTCGCAATTCTGACTTTATAATACGCAATTGCGACTTTATATCTCACAACTCTGACTTTATAACACGCAATTGCGAGTTTATATCACGCAATTCTATCTTTATATCTTATATGTAAATTCGCAATTGTGAGATAAAAAGTCGCAATTACCTTTTTTATTTTTCATTCTGTGGTGGAAACAAGCTTCCATATTAACTAGATGAGTAAAATGACATAAGATATTATGTCTTTTTTTCTGGGAAATAAATCAAAATTAAGTGCAGATAATTTTGTTGTTTTTTAAGCAAAAACTCACTTAATTTTGATTTATTTCCCAGGAAAACAAGACATAATATCTTATGGCATTTTACTCATCTAGTAAATGCATCTCGATTTAAGACATTTTTGATATTTTGACTGGAAACAAGACAAGAATACTAAGAAAGAAAAGCATTTTTTGCAGTGTTACATTTGTTGATCATGTGCGGCGTGGGATATGGAGGCAGATCAGCCTCAAAAATAATACATTTACAAAACAAAATTAATAAATGCACAGCACAATTCACATTCACAAAATCCGATTCATAAATGCACAAGTAAAAGCATAAATATTTCCTCCAAATGCACACACAAATGCATCCTACCTAAATACATTTAAAATGTATACACGAATATGTATATATCAAGTTCTTGAATTAATTTCCATCACACATTTATTTATGGATCGTTGAATCTGCATTTGCAAATGGTCACACGTGCGTGGACTGCTTTGAATTTGCGTGCGGTATTTTTGAGAGCTTTCTGACAGGTTAAGATTTATAAATATCATTTTTTGAAGGATGTTCTGTTCAGCCAATCACGGTGAGCTTTTAATCCACCAATCAAAATGCTCCTATCTGAACAGACTCAAGGAGGGAAAGAAGGTCTCAAAAATACTGCACACAAATTCAAATCCATAAATCCATGTAACATCATTCATAAATGTGTGATGGAAATGAATTCAAGAACTTGATATATAGTCTACATATTTGTGTAAACATTTTACATTTATTTAGGTAAGATGCATTTGTGTGAGCATATTTATGCTTTTACTTGTGCATTTATGAATCGTGTTTTGAATGTACGAATTTTGTAAATGTGAATTGTGCTGTGCATTTATGAATTTTGTTTTGTAAATGTATTATTTTTTAGGCTGATCTGGCCCCATACGGGATGATTATCCAAACCCTTTTCGAGGGAAGGTTCAGGCATTTTCACACACTCATTTTCACATTTTCACACACTCCAAGATTACTGTCAACATACTGAAAACTGCACGAAAATTGCTCTGAATCACTGACATCTGCCAAGTCAGATCGTGACCTTTATTTATATAGTGTTCTGTACAATACTGATGGTTTCAAAGCAGCTTCATAGTAATAAACAGAAAAATAACATAATGAATGATGCAAACTTTATCAAATATGAGACCAATTCTACAGTCAAGCACATCTAGAGAAGACAATAGTGTCATTATTCAACTCAAGTCAGTTCAGTGTTGGTTCAGTTCATTTCAACAACCGTGTAAAAATGAATCCGTTATGAAATGAGTTCAATTGAACTAAATTTGGGATCTCTACAGAAGACAATAGCGTCATTATTCAGCTCAAGTCAGTTCAGTAACAGTGTCGAAATTCATCAATTATGAAACTAATTTGATTCAGCTATAATGCAGCTCTGCAGAAGACAGAACTGTCAGTCCATATTCAGACGTCACCGTCTGTGGCACAAGAGTTTTGCATGAACAAACTGGGAGATAATCTCATTCTGGATTGCGTCGCTCATCCAATCATCTTTCACCCACTCTCTTTCCAGATTGTAGGTACAGTATGTTTCAACATAAGCTTGTACAGCATCAGCAAGAACCACTTTCATTTTGCTCTGTTTATCACACAAAGTGATGGTGTTCTGAAGATTTGGATTGAACCACTGTCCCTTTTTGGAGATGTATGATGTCACGTGAACATGGTTAATGATAAACGTTCACTTTTGAAGAAAACAAGTGCATGTTTTGATCTGTTTGAGACAGGTGTGTGTGTGAGTATAAAGGCCAATGTCGGCCGTCTGTGAGCGTCTGTCAGGTTACTTTTTGTGCTGTGTTCCTCATGTTGTCTATAGTTCGGCCGATTCAGCATGTTTAATGGACGTCAGGGCCGTTGGTGAGAGAGATCACTCTGATTGGCTGTTCAGCTTAGCGAACGAGAAAATGCACGAGAATTAAAGTGAGCAAAGATGTCAAGACAGCACAGACCTTCTGTTACATCGGTAACACTTTACAATAAGGTTCACTACTTTACATTAGTTAACTACCTCAGTTAACATGAACTAACAATGAACAATAATGAACCTTATTGTAAAGTGTTACCGTTCTCTTACTTAGTATTTACTTAGTACTTACTTGTTTCCAGTCCAAATATCTAAAAATTCTTAAATCAAGATACATTTACTAGATGAGTAAAAGGACATAAGATATTAAGTCTTGTTTTCTGAGGAAATAAATAAAAAATAAGTGAGTTTTTACTTAAAAAAGCAAAATTATCTGCCAATGGGGTAAAAAATAAATAAAAATCTTGTTCCTGTTTGAATTAAGATGATTTTTCCTCACCCCATTTTAAAATAATTTAGCTTTTTTTCAAGCAAAAACTCAACTTAATTTGGTTTAATTCCCCCGGAAAACAGGACATAATATATGTAATTTTACTCATCTAGTAAATGCATCTTGATTTAAGAATTTTTAGATATTTGGACTGGAAACAAGACAAAAATACTAAGTAAGAAAAGCATTATTTGCAGTGTGAGCATCTTCCAATACGCACATATTTTCATAACAACATGAGCCTCCCGGTATGAAGAAAGTGATCAGCATGATTGATATTCAAAATGTTTAGCTAGCACTGCTTTGTTTACGGTTTGTATATCTGCAGTTCATCTTTTGAATAACAAATATAGACTATCATGGGCGTCGGAAGCGAAAAAAATGTGGGTGGGTCATCCTCCAGATTTTTTACTGGAGTAGATTAG